CATATTTTCTCTTGGGCTCAACTACACATTTACCATAAACCCATAGGTCTGTTAAATGTTAATGGTTATTATGATAAGTTGTTGTCATTTATTGGTCATGCTGTGGAACAGGAATTTCTAACATTTTATGCACGACAAATCATAATCTCTGCTGTTATTGCTGAACAATTGATTGACCAACTACAATCTTTTATTCCTGTAATTGATCTCTCCTTGAGTCACATAAATTGATCATCTAAGAAAAGCTGTAAAAAGTTTAGATTGGATTTGAGTCTTCATTTGTGAATCTCTGTGTCTTTTGGTTTCATTAATAGCAAAATATTTGTTTTTTGTTGTTTTTTATATTTGTTGAAGTGTGTTTCAGGTTTGTCAATGTTCATTATTTCAGGTGATGTCTTCTGTACTCTATCTTTCTACCTTAGGACATTGAGGACAATGTCTCATTTTGGTTGGGGGGAGAGGGTAGTAGTTGATAAAAAAAAAATTGTTTTTCATTTCATAAAGCATGTGCATAATTGTTGTTACTAGGATGGCAGAGTAAAGGAGTTCTTTTGTTAAAGTGACTCTTGAGACGCATCTTAGTAACCATTCTTAACAAGGTCTATTATAATACTTCCTGAAATATTCAGGTTTACAAACTCTCGTATTGTTACCACTTAATTCTGCTCATATACTTATTTAACATGTATTTTTAAACCTTAATTTACACACACACACTTTAACATATGATTGTGGGTTGCATATTGGATTATTACATTATTTATGTTCTTTTGTTAAAGGTAACAACTAAGGGAAAGGGATTGTATATAATTAAAAAGAAAAAAAGAAAAACATGAAAAAAAAAGAAAAAGAAAAAGAAAAAAAAATGATGATAATAAAAATGTAGATAAGTTTGGTTTCGTAGCCTCCCTAACCTAAGCAATTAAGTCCGAAGGGGTGTTTTAACACCTAATACCCTAAAGTCAACTGACTTGGGAGCTATTGGCCCAACGCTTGTTACATGGGTTGAGGAGAAAAGCTTAAGGGAATCAAACATTGCACTATCTACATATCAGTATCTGCGACCCGAGTTACTAAGCTCGTAGGGGTGTCTTAACACCTAATGCCCTAAGACCAACTGGTCTGGGAGTCATTAGCTGAAAGCTCGTTACATGGGTTAAAGATGCATGATGTTTTTAAAGTATATGTATATAGAGTTAAAAAAAAAAAAGACAAAAATAGTAATCCCAACCCAAGGAAGTTAACCTTAAACATTAGAACAAAAATTTTGTTTTCTTCCAAGAAAAGCCCCATAATTATGTGTTGATACATTGAGCACAAAAGAAAGGTTTATTAATATCTTGTTAAGAGGTATTGAGCAGATATATAAATTTAATGAGAGTTTGTTTATCTGGATAGATTAATGGAAGTTAAATGATGAATACCTTGCTTTGTGGAATTTGCAAATTGTTTTTCTATTTTACGCTTTGATTACTAGGGACTAGTAATAAGCTGGTTGGGGGGTGTGATTAGTACTTAAAAGTGCATTTTTATCATGGTTTTATATCATCATTTTGCACTTGAAGTATCAATAACTCCTTAACTAAAATATGTTTTATAATAATGTATCTAATAATATAAGATACCTTTAATTTGTGGTAAATGTCTATTTTTAATGCAGGCCTATCACATAAATGAAAGGATTGATTGATGACTTGAAGAACTTAAATTGCAAGGATAAAGAGATGGCCAAACTTAGAAAAGAGATGTCGGTGCAATTCAAACCGGAACACTGTTCGGTAATTGGGTCATATCTAGAGCTGTAAATCTTGGATTTAGGTTTACTTTATATGAATAGAGAGATAAGGCATAGGGCTACAACTTTCATATAGAGCTCAATATTTAATTAGACCATTTTCAAGTCCAAATTGTAGCAACAACAAAGAAGCCCGAATCTGTCTTCCAGCCCGAGCACTGTTCGGTATTTTGGCCATATCTGGAGTTCTAGAAGTCCAAAGGAGCTGAATTTTTTACACAAGAAAGCTGAGACAATGCCCTACAACTTTCATGTTTGCAACTGGCTCCAATTGTGACGTTATCAATGACGTTTTGGGCAGACAAGAGAAGATAAAGATTGTCACCAAGTCAAAAGTTGGCCACCCACTTATCAATTAGTCATCAAATCAATAGTACCCAATTTTGGCCTATAAAAGGAGGCATTTACCATGCATTTAGGCATCTTGGTTTCCAGATCAAGATCATGCTCTTCCTTTCTCTCTTTGTATTTTTTATGCTTTGTTTTCATTAATATTAAGTTTATGCCTTTCATTTCATTTCCTTTACTTAGTTAACTTTTATATTCTTATTTTGTTTATCTATTTTGCTTTCTTTCATTATGTCTAGCTAAGTTAATTATGTCAAGGTGAAAAGGTTACACTAATGGTGTAAGAATAAGTATAGTGTAAACTTAACATAGACTTTAGTATATGATACTAATATGTTTTGTATTTGTTATCTTGTTCACTCTTTAATACTTTGCTTGTTAAATGAATAATTTAGATTTATGTTGTATAACACTTGGTACAATAAATGCTTGCAACTTTCATAGTCCATATTGTATGGTATAACCGATACCTAAGCTATGAAAGGAACTTGATTTGTTGTTAACATAAGTTATAATCATGAATACCTGACGAGATTTACAAGTATTAGCATTAATCAAATAAGCTAACTAATATAATCATGTAACAATTTATAATCTAATGGAACCTCCTTTATGTGTGGTTTCTAATTGAATAATAAAAATTTATACTATACTTGTTTGACATTCCATTAGTGGATCCTCTAACCTTGATATTTGTTATTATCATTATTTAATCCTTACGTTAATCTTTCATCTAAAAGTTCTCATCAACTTCTTCCTCTTCTTCTTTATTACTACTATTACTACTACCACTATTATTAATTATTATTAGTATTACTATTACTATTGCTACTGCTGTTGCTACTACTACTATTACTATTGTTATTATTGTTACTATTGTTGTTGTTATTGTTGTTGTTGTTGTGTTATTGTTATCTATAATTTATATAATTAAACTCCCTGTAGTTTGACCCGATTTTGCTGGGTTATTTATTTACTTCGACACTCTTGCACTTGGAAAAAAAACATTAATCTTTTGGTCATGTCACAAGCTATAATTATTCTTCTTATATTTTTTTACAAGTTTATATATTTATTTAGTCAGCGTGCTAGCTTTTGTAATGTTTGCATGTTTGACCCACTTGTCTAATATTTTTCTTATATACAAAGTTTTTGAAAACAACTTTAACTATTTTACTTAAAAAGTAAATCAAAATCAAATAGAAACCATGTCTATCAATACTTTTATCATCTTTGTTTGTCTATGAAGTAACAAATATATCATTTTGTTGTTGTAGAGTTGTTTGTATAATTTGTTTTATATTTAAATTGAACAAAATATGATTTTAAAAAATAGAATTGAAACACATTATATTTATATGAATTAAATTTTAAATGATGGTTTCATGGAATTAAATACATTTATACCCAATAAATCATCCAAATATTATTTTTGAGCTTGCGCCCTTTATTTGTTTATTTGTATAAGATTTAATTTATTTATACATTTTATTAAAACTATTTTTAATTGATAGTATTGTTGAATGCATTAAATATCTTATTTTTTAATCAAATTGCAAATTTGAAATGATGTCTTGATATTATTTATGGGATGTTTTTGTAATTTATTGAAAAAATTTAAATTTAACAAAAAAACACAAGGTAATATCATAGTTTGAATTAAGGGATTGAACTAACCAAAATTCACGATGGAAAAATTATTTTTTATATACTGTAATAAATCTGGAACATTTTATAATATTATTTATATAACAATAATGAGTTAAGATTTAATTGCATATTTGATAATTAATTTTATAAAAAATTAAAAACTTAATCTATAAGGTAAAATCTGATATGCAATTTTAAGTCTAATACTTTATTTTTTGTTTATAAAATGAATTTTATTTATTTACAAGTGTGCTTAAACGTCAATTTAAAGAAAGCATAAAGAATAAAGAGAATTAATCTAGTCATTTCATTAAGTTATGGAGTGAGAATAATAATAGAAGTAGGAATAGTGCCATCTAAATATTTGTCAACGTAGCAAGCTACCAAAATCGCCAATCAGCTGTACTATCTAACATACATATAATAAGTAAATAATATATAAATGGTAGGTAATAGAAACTCATTGATCCTGTAAATTAGTGTTCACTACAAAAGGCGATTGTAAAAAAAATACTATCAATTAAATGATTAGATTAATTCTATGATTATAACAAATAAAATTTAATTTTTAAAAATAAAATTTAATATTTATCATATTCTGCGATTGTCCACTTTAATTCGGGGTTGAGAGGAGGAAGGTAGTATAAACGTTCGGTCCATGAAGCAAATTCTCTTTATTGTGAAAACGTACGAGCGTCTGATTATATACGTACATAAAAGAAGAGGCAACTGTTGTTCCATTTGATCATCTGTTTCTTTCAAAACCCATGAAGCCCAGGTTGACTGCATTTTCTTGATCAAATAAAGAAAAAAAGAACCGGGTGGCACCTTCAGGTTTTCAAATTTTGGAACTAAACAATGTGGTAATTTATCACCTGCGCCAGAACATACCCACATAACTCCAAAATAATTAATTGAGGCAGTCTTGATTAGAAGCAGACTACAAGGAATCTTCACAGAAACCAGGCTAGTAAAATTATTTATTGTCATTGTATTCGGAAGATGGAGCAGAGAAATTGCTGTCGTTCAAATCAATATTACTTTACCGTATTGTTTGATTAATATTCGAAGATAAAAAGAATTTAAATAAAAGAAATATAAATATATAGTTAAAAAAAAGCAAAAATATAAAATAAATTTATCTTTTAAATAATTTTATAGTTAATTTATGTAGATATCCTCTCCATCTTTATTTTTTTCACTATAGCAAGATAAAAATCAAACTCTATCTTTGTAAAACAAGACTAAAGTTAAGCTACTGACAACCTAACTTTCATTGCTTAAGCTAAAAAAAATAAAAAAAAAACTTTCTCATTTCATTGATTAGGCAACATGATCACCCATAACTGTTGTAAAGAATTTACACAAAGCATTCTTTGTTCTATGCTCGCTATTGCTTGTCGGCATTTAGCTGAAGCGAAAAGCTTCGAGAAGAAAGAAGTCTTGTTACTTCAACTTCCACATTCTTTTCACAGTCAAGCCTTTTTAAATATCACTTCGGATAAGAACGCCCCTCTTCACTAACCAATTCCTCGATGACCAAATCTTCATCAACTTTGGTGCATGACCGCTGCATTCTGACGCCGCTTATGCTATTTCTGGAATCCATTATTTCATTGAGTGAAAGCCTCTTCTTTGATCCTGGATCCGGCCTTTGTTTTGGCGCACTATGAGACCTCAATTTGGCATTAAAGGATTGCGTGTTTGCCATGTAATTATGGAAGTTCGAATAAGGCTTAAAGTAGGCATCTCCGCAAATGCTCCTTGCTGGTGTGGCAGGGGCATTGCACCTGGCAGAGTTTGCAAATCTTGGAGTACTGTGTGCAGTGGAGAACCTACATTCCTCGCCTGTGAAGTACCACTCAAGATCTTGATAATTTTTGCACTCAGGGATGGAGATTCTAGCTGGTGTAGGACAAGGAAGAGGTGACGAGATAGCCTGGTAGGGAAGTTCTTCACCACATTCTGATAGTGCAATATTAATCCTACGAGATCTTGATCTTGGCTTGTAGGTGTCAATTTCAACTATCTTAGGGCTTTCATCAAATACATTCGTGTCATAAGATGTGGATAGCCTCTTGCTGTGAAATTCACTTCTCATATCATCAAACCTCTCCTGGAACCCAAAAAGAATTAAAAAAAAAAATTCACCACAATAAGAAACGGGACAGCCTATACAAGAATGAAAATATGGTTCTTACCAAGGATTTTCGTGGTCTGTGTTTAGAAAATCTATTCTCTTTGTTCAACGAACGACGAGCATGTTGAGATAGAACAGAATTTTGAGCTCTTATGAGAGCTTGCATGCTATGAAGAGTTGCAGCAGCCCGTTTTCGGACTAAATAGCCCCTAACAACAGCTTGTAGCTTAACCAGCCCTTTCAACGCGCGAAGAGCTTTTCGGGCCTGAGAAATTAAATAAAAAAATAAACTCATTAGAAGCAATTAATCCATAAAAACACATTGCGATGAATTTCCAAAAGAATTACTCTACATCAATTAAAAATGGTAATTGAATGGCATGGAAAGAATTTCCAATCAATAGTTCAACCATAAAGGCATAGTTTAAAATTCAAATTTCAGATTCTGGAGAGGGGACCATTTAAAATAGGTCAAACTGAAAGAATGAAAGGAACAAAAGCAAAATCAATGGCCATGTCAAAGAAAACTTGGAAAACATACGAATATTGATTTACCCCAGAAAACATATGTACTGTTCCATTAGCTATTGTATCTACTTGTCCTCACATATGATGGTAGGACAAATGTACAATTTAAGGAAAGTATAGTCTAGCACCACCTTTGATTAAATCTAAAGCTATCTATCTTCATTACCATGTTAACATGAATTTTATTTTATTTTTAACAAAAGAAAATGATGGTGTCATTTTGCGTAGCATTTGAACTGGCGCTTCTAGGTTATGACAGCATCGAGAAAAGCAAGATTCAGTCAAAGCAACTTTTCTTAACCATGTCAATTAGCATATATACTGTTTCATTACCCTCATGTTTCACAGCTTTGAAGCAAAGAGTAGAGATAAAAGCATCAACCAAGAAAAAAAATTGTACCATTGACATAATAATGTAAGAAACTGAAAAAGTCTAGAAACATCTCTCATTACCGTGAAAAATATTCAGCAGCATCTGCAAAAACCAGATATAGCCAGATCGGATAACCAATTTTTAAACTTGAATTTTTGAGCCCCTGAAATGCAACACATCAAAATTCAAGAATTCACTTACCAAGTAGCCTCTAAAGACAGTTTGAATTTTTCTTGCAGCCCATTTCTCCTTCCCTCCACCAAACAATGTGCCTCTGCCATGGCTGGTGAGCCTCACGACGGCAACCGCTGCCTGAGCTGCAGCCACTGCAGCATCAGCTGCTGCAGCTGTGGCTGCTGCCACTGCAATCGCATGCTTATTCTGCTCTCTTTCCGTCTCAGAAAGGGAGGAGCCGAGCCAGGCAGCATCTTTCATGTTCCCTGAAAGAGTCGCTGGAGCGTCGTCCTTCCCTGATTTGGAAAAGCTCCACCTTTTCTTCTCTTTCTTGTCACTTGAAATTGGTGTGGCAACATCGTCTCTTTCTTTATCTCTGTCTTTCTTCATGCCCAATAAGCCCTTTAGCCACCTTGTAGCTCTGCCCATGGTCAACTCTTATCTATTTCTTTCACGGACCAACTTGAAGTGACAAAACAGATGGAGAAATGATACAAGTAGCCAAGAATCCCATGTACATAAACAATGTATTAAAAGCTCTGATATAACAGCACCGATTTGGAGTAAGAGTGTGTTTAAACTTTTTTTAACAGTTTAAAGTGGAAAGGAGTAGGACAAAGAAACCTGTGTCAAAGAACTTTAGGGGCCTGTGGCTATTTTGAAGTGTGAGAAATGGACAGAAAAAAAAAGAGGTATGACAGGAATATTTGTATAAGAGGGGTCCTCAAGAACAAAATGTGTGTTTCAAAAACTGAAAACAAAAGCCCATGAGGGGTGTTTATAGAGTGTAGAATATCAAGAACTGCAAGATCTTTAGAATCTTTACAGGTTGCAAGCAGAGAAGTGAAGAGAACAGTGTGGGAGCAGTATAAGAAAAAACTTAAAACAAATATATAAAGATTAGGTTTTTTGAAAAGAAAATCTGACACAACCTCGTGAAAAACTGTATTACAAGACAAAAGGAGGTCACAGAAAGAAACAGAGAAGCAGATTCAAAAAAACGTTAAAAAAATGTTCAAATACTCATGAGGAATACACAAACAAGAATTAGAAGACAGAAAAGCATACAAGGTGAAAACTTCAACAATAATAATTTTTGTTACAAAGGCAGAAGTATATTATAAATAAACATCAAAGGTTGGAGACATGAGGTAAAATCTACTTACTTTCTCAAATTCAAAAAAGAAAAAGAAAAAAAACAATAAAATAATTATTTTAAGGAAAAAAAACAAGCCTATCTCTTTAAAAAAAAATTCTCCTCACTTTCTTTCATAAGAAAATATACATCTCTCGATGAATTTATGGAGCAACGTGAAGTAACTATGCCCACTGACCATCCCCTGTATCAATTCACCTTAAAGCATTTCTTTTTCAAAATCCGTTTTGAGTATACCCTCTCTCACAAGATACCCTCCTCTCACTCTCTCCTCTCTACAGTAAGAAAGTTCATTGAAGACGCACAAAAGGTAGAAAGGCCCATTAAAGGGATGCTTTTAATAGGTTCTCTCAATTCCAAAAGAATGAGTAAAAAAGAAAAGCTGAGATCTTCTCTTTCTCTGCTGGGTTAGGAGAAGATAATTATATGATTTGTGGCTCCGTAAAATATTTTATTTTAGAAATATATTAAAATAATTTTTTTTTATATTTTAAAAATTATTTTTAATATTAAACGTTAAAATTATCTAAACTATAAAAAATTTTATTTTAAATAAAAATATTTAAAATTTAAGAAAATGTAATTATATCGCATTTTTAAATATACCCGAAATAATATAATAGGAATTGTTTTTAAGATTATTTCTGTTAAAAAGTATTTTAAAATAATATTTTTTTATTTTTTAAAATTTATTTTTAATATGTATCAAAACTTTAAAAACCTTAAAAAATTAATTTAAAATTTAAAAAATTTAAAAACATCATCCAACTACAAAATCAGACACGGCACAAGCCTTTCAGTTTGATTACTCAAAATCAAAAGGGAGTTCCGTTCTGCAAATGGGGTTTTGATTATTGTAGATTTGGAATCCTTTTTGGCAAATAAGGGCATTGATGGCCTTAAGAAGAGAGAGAAGAAGAGAGTAAGAGAAAGGTTTAATGCCTCCATTAAATAATTTCCTGATTCTTGGGATATTAAAATTATTTTCCATAATAGTAGCAGTTACTGGGGTTTTGAAAGTTGACAGTTAGTGTTAAAGAGTTTGAGAGCGAGGACTAAATAATACTTAAATCATCATTAAGTAAATTAAAAATTTTGATTTTTAAATTTGAAGGAAAATCTTGATTGTTGATCCCTTGACTGTGAAACCTTCAACCGAAAGAGATCATTCATCATCATGCACAATTATTATCAGTAGCAGGTGATGTTGATGGAATAAACTCGATAGGAAATTTGAAAGAATTATTATGGAACCAACTTGTCTATCCTAACAGTGGGAGGGAAATTCAAAAGTAATGATAGTACAGGTATATGTTGGACTGTCGGAGTAGCTAGCTATGTTCGCCGAATGGAGTCTCATGACTAAAACTATTCTAACGTTGTTACTGCATCTCCAACCGAAAACGCTACTTAAAGGAGTTGAATTTGTAATATGATTTTTTGAATAGTAAAAATATAATTTTTTTTATTTACAAACACTTTAATGACATTTTAATGGTAAAAAAATCATTTAAAAAAGTTAATTATATTTTAATATATTTAATACATAACTATTTTAATAACTCGATATATCTTTGGTTGACTTGAAGAGTATAAAAATAAATTAGATGATTTTCAATCAATACAATACTAAATAATAAAATAAAAAATAATTCAATTAAAAAAATAATTAGAATCAGCTTATATAAACTTGTCAAACCCGTAATATGGATTATAAAACTAAAATAATTTCATAAAAACAAACTGAAAAAACTTAAATTTTAAAAAAGATTAAAGGAGGAAAAGAACTATTATAAAAGAAAACACTATTTCAATAAATGTGTTTTAGCATTTTTGCAAGATATGTAAAAATATTATTTTTGTAAGAGAAATCTAAAATAGCATTTTATTTAGCTTTTTTTTTAGAGTATGAAAAATAAACAAAGAAAAACTAAAATATTTTATTTTTATTTTTAGCTCTAAATTTAGCATCTAGGTTAGAGTTGCTCTTAATCCTTCTCAAAAGAAAATGTTATTATTTGTCACTGGTCATGAATGAAATTTTTTTTTTATTACTGTATTGGTAAAAAATGTAAGAAAATTATTTAATAACAAGATATCATGTTAAACATCAAATTCAAAACTATATAATTTAAATTATATGATAGATTTGCATTTCTGCTTGAATTAGCGTATATTTGCTATTGCATTTAAAATTGTATTTAGGCATGTTTGAAAGTGTATTTGGCTTAAAAAATATTAAATTAATATTTTTCTTAGTGTTTCTAATGATTTTAATATGTTAATGTTAAAAATAAAAATAAAATAAAATAAAATTATTGTAATATATTTTCATACAAAAAGTATTTGTAAAAAATATTTTGCACTACAATATTAAACACTCACTTGATGGTGTAATAGAGTGATCCAATTTTGATCATATCAATTTTGTGTTATCATAATCATTGTAATTATATTAATTTGTATCGCTTTTAGGTTGAAGAAAAAACTCTGGGTATGTATTAATTTTTAATAGATGATAAAATATTTTTAGTTAATATTTAAAGTTAGTAACACATAAATAATACATGTATCTTTATCATAGAATATATGAGAAGTGATTGCATTTAATTATTGTATATTGATTAATTGATGAAGATTTATTTACTCTTATTTTACATATTGTTATAATATATAGTGATATGATCCAAATAAGATCAAATTTGGATTTTGATAAAAAAAAAAAATTATCTAGTTTTATGATATTAGGCATAACTTTCATTTTGATCATTAGATTGAGATGAAATTTTTATAGCCATTTTTGAACTTTTTTTTTTCATGGTTAAAATTTCAATTCAGTTAAAGGATTGTGAGAGATTATTTTATAAGATCAAAGTTACTGGACGAATCTTATCAAATCTATCTATCTAGACCTTTGTATATTATTTGGACTATATTTAGTGTTACAAAAAGAATTTTGTTGATATGTTAATTGGGTCGGAAAGTATATATCCGTACTATTTTAGGTGATATGTGATAGGCCTACTAATTTATTTGGACTAAAAAGAACAATATATTTGAAATTAGGACTAAAATATACCAAGAATATGCGAAAACTAGAAAAATATTGTTTTATTATGTATTATGGATTTTAGTCAATATAAGGATTCCTTAATACTTTTAGAAACTTATGTGACAACTATTGGGTTAACTATTCTAGAAGGAATCCGTGTCAAACAAATAAATATCTATGATAGTAAATATTATTTATAGTTTGCAAAGATTTCATATTTATTATGGAATGTATATAGTGACAAAGAGGTTTGGAACTCTTTCGTTGTTTTTATATTTATTTATTTTATAGGATTTTCTAACACATTAAAAAGACTAAAAGGAGGCAATTTAAAGAAGAAAATTTCAATAATTAAAACAAAGTTTCATAATTAATTTGGAGCATGAAGTTTTGGCAAAGCCTTCAAGAAAAAAGCAAAGGGGGAGTTTCTATTATGCACGGGGATTTTAAGCAAGAAGAATTTATTTTATGATGTTTTTATTTATTTATTCTAGTGAATTATTAGCTATTAACTTTATTCTAAATTGAGTTTGTTTTGAACCATGAGATGTTGTTTTAGAGTTTATTTTAATATTAAATTTGAGTTAGTTGATCACTAGATAGGGTTTTTTAGCTTGCAATCCAAAAAAATCCATTAGTATTATATAAAGAGGACTATAGATTGCTTTTATGATTGCAAGTTTTTGCAGCTATAATGATCTTAAAAAATATAATTTTTTAGTTTTTGCAGCTATAATGATCTTAAAAAACATAAAAAAAAATTTGTGTGTTCCAAACAATTTTTCTTTATAAAAATAAAAATCATACATTTATTTATAAAAAATTAACTTGTTTTATAATATTATTTGCATGCTTCATGTTTGTAATTTATTTATAAAAAATTAACTTGTTTTATGATATTATTTGCATGCTGATATAAAGTTATCTCTATAACGTTTTTTAATAACTTTTGGGTTTTAGGTATATAATTATTTATAGGTTGTAGTTTTAGATTATATATTTAGCTTTCAAATTAATTTTTAATTTTATTATGGATTGTACAATAATAAAACCAAGATATTCACATGGATTGGATAGTTAAGAATTTATTCTTTTATTGCAGAGGAGAGAATAGTAATTGAAAAGGCGAACCACAAATGAAAATCTACTTCCATTTGCTTCAGAGAAGCAACTTATAAAAGTAGCGGAATGAATTTAGAGGCTGGTAAATAAAATTTTTGAAAATTAGAAAAATCCCCCTTAACTTGTGAAAAATTGTAGGGTATTTTTACAAAATAGTCACCCCAAAATCAAAGTTACAGGTGTTGCTCCCCCATTATGACAAGTTTGGATTCATGCTTACCAAAGAAAGCATGGATTGCTACAAGTACATATTTTCTGAGAAGAAAAAAGCTTTTATAGTTTTGCATGCAAAGCTAGTTCTTCGAAAGATAATTAAATATATTTTAACAATGTGTAACATCTCCTAGCAAAACAAGGGTACCATACTAGTTAATATTATTTAGCGTATTGAGTAACTCTTTGAAATGATTGACAACCTTATATGTAATTATGTTCATGGTTGATATAAGAATGTTTTGTATTTTATCTTTTGGGATGCCTAACTGCCTTTTTAAATTAAAGTGTATTTTGGGGATTAATGATATGCATATTCTTAAATATTCTTTTAAAATATTATTTTACTCCTAAAACTTAAAATATTTAATTTAAATGAAGATTCTAATCAGACTATTATTTTACTCCTAACACTTCAAATATTTTATTTAACAATATGATGTTTTTTTTCAAGTAATTATGCTCATAAGAAGATGCATATTACATTTATATTTTTTTTATTAAGTCTACAACACTTTTTTTATTGTTAGAAAAAAGTAAGGATATGTTAATTTATTTAATGTGAAAAATGACGATATTGTAATCATTTTATTCTGATTTTTCTCATTTTAGAAGGAAGTTACATTTATTGGTTTGTGGGATGTCTCAAAGAATATTAAATTTATGAAAAATCTATAATTTTTAGCAAACCAAACATACTATATAGGAAATGTTTAACATGCAGGTTCTTAAAAATCTGTCTAGACTGTGATTGTCGAGAATATAATTGTTAGCAATGTAAATGCTGAGAAAGTGATATTTGTGTCTAGTTCAAAACAAAAGGTCCAAGTAAAATGTCTTTATTTTGTTTGATTTATTCTTGAGAATTTCATGAGAAATGCAAAAAAATTTAATTTTTTTAATTTAAAATATTTAATTTGAAAATAACATATTTTTTTTAATATAAATACTTATATTACTTGGTTTTTAAAACTAATAT